CCCACCTGCCATAAATGGTAAACTGACAAAGTGCTTCTTAGAAGACGAAAAATAGGAAATTAGTAAGTTCTTAGACCATACAGCACTCTCGCCCAATGGAACATCCTGGTGGGTCCTCCCCTGAAATCTGAAGATTTCTGAAGCTTGACTTGCGGGATGAGAATAGAGCGGACTCTGTCGTGCGTCTTTGTATCAAACTCCTTTCAAATTGTGTTCAGTGTGCCTTAATTTATTACTAGTTTGCAAGCCGGCGATTCCATGTGTCCTAATGCAAATATAGATTTTCATGACGGTATAGGTATCTAGGCATTCTGCCTTCCGTCTAGCATTCTATAGGTTATTTAGCCCAAACATACATGACTCTAACTTCATGACCCTCTAATTCAACCTCCTATTTTAACAAACTTCTATTTTGATTAATCCGAACGAAGAATTATCTTTGGGTTTCGCTAACTGCCTGCAGTAAATTCTCTATCAGGCTTGTAGAGACATGACTGTATGACATCTGAGTAAACATCATTGTTTTGTCACTTTCCATAGTGGTGATGGTGACGATAGTCCGGTTCACGGACAGATTCCGTCAGGATATAATCATTTTAATAACGCCCTTCATTTATCGAATTTTGGCTAGTTTCACTGTGATGCATGTGAACTGTGGTGACCTGAAACGTAATCACATTACTAATCTACTCACATATCAACAAACTAGCAAACTGTACTCTGGGTTCCAACTCTGAGTATGCACCATGTTCGTGGCTGCCAAACTGACTAATTCATTACCAGCGGTTTTCTGATCAATTGCAAGTAATATCACCTTTGAGAATCATAATCTGAGCTAATACTAACGGTGAGTAGTTAACCGTCCTTTCGAAACGGAATGACTTCAAAGAGTACTACACCCATTACTTAGTCTTGGCGATCATTTCGGGGTAAGGGATGGTAATATGATGAGGACAAAAAACATGACGATGTACGCGCATCACTCACCATGTCGTCTCGGTTGATTATCCGTTGTCTGTACAGCTAAGCCGAAGTCTGCTATCTTGATTGGCGCGTCTCTTGAACGACTGGCAAGAAGTAGATTTTCGGGCTGGACATAAAAGCAAAAACTAGGTTGTTGGATTTGAACAACAAACACACTTAGGTACCAGTTAGTTTGGGGTGGTCGTAGTGAGAATGCAAGGTGAAAGTAGAAATCACACGATTATAAGTAAACCAATATCTACTGAACGAATCACATACAGCTATCCACCTTATCGTTATACAAAAGCACTTTGGTACAACCAGGCGCACCAAATAGGTTCCAGCCACGCAATTCACCAAACAACTTGGAGAATGATGGTTAGAAAGAATACCAACAGAACATTAGGATAAGCTTCTCATTCTGAGAATACTACAAACTTGGTTTATCGATTCCTATAATCTTCAGTACCGTCTGTTTTCTTCCTCTTCAAAACATAAATGACCAACGGGAATTGCAGAACTTCATTCATATTGGACTCGTTGTTTGTCTGGATTCCACTCTCACAATCTTCAGACTAACTTCTCAAGATTCCTCTTGTTTTACTCTCAGTGCTTTCTAGACCCAAATAAGTTAAAACTCATCCGTACAATGCATATTGGCCTCCCGATGAAAGTGAGATCACTCAACTTGTTCAGCAACTGAATGTCAACCGCCGCCCTATTTTAGAATCCCATCAAACTGTTCAAAGTTGTATCCTTGGCAATTTTAGTGTCTCCACTTGTGCCCATCGTTCTCATCGTACGTGAGTGCAGCGGGCCTTAAAGCAGAATTATCGACAACAACCAAAGTACTGTCCCACACCGCTTATCTTTTCACGCAAATTCCGGACAGCGCCAACAAGTCACTTCAGGTCTTGGGTCCCAGGATAAGCACTGGCCTCTCATTATATTCGGCTGAATTCTCTCCTTCGTCCACCCTTTTGGCCATTGTCTTATTACTTGTCTCCTCGCACACCTTACTGTTAGTGCTATTCGTCTAATGACTAGGGAGGCCACACCTACGAAGCTGCTAATATCCCCCAATATACTTTATTACAAAGCGATCTCATTTTTGCCCGACTTTGCAGCACAAGTCAAGTCCTAAACTACGAAACATTTTAAACTGGAACGTCTCCGTGCTGCCCAAATTCTACCATCGTCCCATTCTGGCTTCGTAAGGGCCGTCACGTTCTACGCTGACATTTGGAACAAACTGAGGGCCTGGCCCTTAGTGGCAAGCATGATCAACTTTCTAATAGACCTGGCGTAATTTGCAGTTCTTTACTTACCTTACAACTTACATTTAGTCCTTTTTCAAAATAAGGAAATATTTATTTGCTTAACTTCGTTTACTTCAACACAGTAGCTCCAATCTGTTTTTTCACCAATAACCGGACCATGGCTCAATAAAATTTGTCACCAGACACCTTTGGACACCTATAACGGCCGTTTTACTTTGTTCAGAAGCTGAACTCTGGAGGTCACCCGAGCATTACCCGTCTTCTCAGTTTCTGTAGTTCCTATGTCTAAAAATGTCTTCAAGAAAACCCCACTCGCAAGCCAGACTTCATAGTAGCCCGATCAACTACCACTGACATACTGAAGGCTCTGTTTCACCCAAAGTCCTAGAGTTATCCATGATTGGACTACTTGTAACTGATCGGAAAGACGACAGCACACTGAGCAAGCATCTATATGGCTAAGGAGCTATCGCTGCTCCACAGAGAAGCGTATCACGCGAGGTTTGCTTTGAACTCGTTTAGTGGAGCTCACTTAGCATTCCCTACAACCCCGAAGGTCTTTGGCTGGATATGGTGATACCAAAGCGCCACGTAAAGACTACGCCCCGCCTTGAGAGACTGCGACGCGAACTCCTTACCAGCAAACTTGTTATTTCCACCTTTGCATTACAGACACTTTCCCGGTAATGTAACCGAGTTTTAGAGTCCTCAAATTCTTAAGACTCGAATTACGTTTCATCTGTTTAAACTTCCACAATCATCTACCCTCAACTTCTTAAGACTCGAATTACGTTTCGTCTGCTTAAACTTCCACGATCATCTACTTACATACACCGCTCGAGCGTTGCTGACTTTCTTCTTTCTAACGGTACACCGCCTTTTTCACATTCTAAACGATTTGATTTGTAGCATTCTTACACATGTACCTGAATTTAGTTCCTCCTTTTCTCCTGGAAACAAGGTTGTGAGCAGTAAAATGGTTACTTATGACGGGTTTACTATGAATAATTAGCTGGGGCTTTAGTTGGCAGGTTAGTCAACCACCTTAAGATCACGATGAATGACACCGTTGCGATGGCAGTAGGCTAAGGCATCCAGAATCAAATAGATACATGCGCTGTAAATCAAAATACCAAAAGGAGTTGGAGAGGAAAGAAACAAACATACAATCGTTTTAAGAAACTCTTTTAAATAGAATCACGAAGTCCGAGGAAAAGTACACACCCATTGTAAATCATGAGTATCTACTTGAGTATGTGGCGTGAAAAAATCAACTAAATGCTTTTATTGCCACGAGATTTACACGGGACGTAACCTTTTTTATGAATGTGAAACTGTTTCTAAGGATATTCTGACATAAATCTGGCTAGGTCGTCACGAAGAGACTGAACCTTACCGTGGGGTGGCGGTTTATGTACCTCGGTGACCCATTGAGTTATACTGGGGGGGTGTCCTCGCGACACTCACAGAGTCCCTCATACCAGGTTGGTCCATGGGTGAAAATCTGACAGTCTCCTGGCTCTCTAAGTTGGGGGATGGAACACGTGTGGTGACGTGTTCCGTAAAAATGGTAATTTACTTGGCTACCTTGCGGTTAGGCTTTGGTTGAGGACCCTAATCGTCCTCCTGTCTAGGTGTTCGCACCCTGGCAGTATGCTCGCCCTCGTACAACCAAGACACTTATGGATAGCAAGTACGGCAGTGAAGCATCAGTGTCAACCTTGAAGTTGCTGTCTTTGATGATGATGATGACATCTGGCTAGTTCCAGCGAAAACTTAGATCAACAGGAATTGAGTGTTTAACTTTTGACTTTCAAAGTCATGCCTCCAGGTTCTTCTCCGTGAGAACCCTTCGAATGAATCATACGTGACGTATTCATGACAGTTATATGGTTAGTGTGCCAAACCATCTTTAGCTGACTTCAGTAGCAACCTGAAGACTTGCACTGCAGACCAAATGAGTTGGTATTCGTACTAAATAATGCAGGTGGCTCTGATAGTCTTAAAAGTTAGTTAGTGTTCTTGGGCGACGGGACGGGGAAGGTCACAGCACCCTCGGTTGGAAGGATTGACTGGAGGACATCGTGCGAATGCATTAGTGTGCTGCACGGGTCTTAACCGAAAGTTCTGGCCGTTTTTACTTTCACTGAATAAAACGGGTGAAATAATCAACCAGCTGCCAATTCAACTCCTCGCAGGACCATGCAGGTCGCTTTCATGTGCATGAAAATGGTAAACAGTTTGTGTTAATTTTGATGGATGGTACGCATCTACTTTTATTGTGGAATCACGCACTCTGTGACACCACATAACGGAGGATAAAACTGCATTCCAGGCAGTGTTTACCAAAAAATGCAGCACAAGATGATGAGGGCGGAGTGCCGCCCTAAACGTTTGTCTGAAAGAAAACCGC